TTTTTTTTTAACCCAACACAGCCATTGCACATCAGATGTACTTGTATGTATCCCAAAAATCTGTAATTTAATGTGCTACAGCAGTCAAAACATGAAAAACAACCAATCTGAAAAAGTATAGGTGTACAACTTTATGAAATGGCACTAAAGAACTCCTCACTTTGTTCTATTTCACTAAATTGAAATTGAGATATTAAGTTCTTCATTGAATTATTGTAAATTCCAACAAATAAATCCAGATATTATGATATGAGGGACTGAGTATTTACACAAACTAAATCAGAATGATATACAGACATGTATACCAGTATAATAAAAGCAAATGAAATGGATCATCCATATGCGCTCAAAACCTCAAAACTAATCATGTAAACCACATTTGTCTGACCAGTATTTGCCAGACAAATGTTGATTTCTCTCTACATAGTTTCACTGTTTCAGAGAGCAACAGTTTATGGCAGATGAAAAATTGAATATGTTGTCTAATAAGGCTGTTATAGGTGAACATGATCTTTTTCAGAGGGTTCAGAGTTTGTAAGGGTTGTTTTACAACAGAGGTATCTGCTCCCCTCACACTGGAAATCCCACTCACTGTGTTCAAAAGGAAAGCCCAGGTCTTTCTGTCATTTTGTTTGTAATATACATAATGGTATATTCTGTGAGAGTCAACACTGTTTTATGTAGAGGACAAACTGCCTCAGTTATGCATCTTTTAAAATCTACTCAATAAGGTGAGAGACTTGTGGGGTGATGGATTTTTCTGAAATGTGCTTATACGGTGTTTGGCCTGCAAATATTTGAGAAAGTAAATGGTCTGGAAGTGGAGGACCTTTTATTTCTATGTATACCATCTCTGTTCCCATTTGGTAAGGCGGTTAGGGGGTTTCCAGTCTTTTTAATGCCAGAATCCTTTGATAATAATCCTCACAGTGCAATACACCACAAGGCCGCAAGGGGGCAACATATGTACACGAAATAACACTAAGTGCACACCTGAAGTATTTTACATACGTTCATTTCTGTATAACCTAAAATAAAAGCTAAACTGTTCTTTTGATTATGTTCTGTTAGTGCAGATTACATGGACCAAGTTGACTTTCATCTGAAGTTTCAGTGTTCAGTTTTATTTCTAGCATCAATTCACAACAGCACACTGACCCTACAGAATTGGAGATACCCCCAGCAACAGTAGGGAGGAAGATCTTCCTTTTTACAGAAAGAAACCTCGAGCACAACCAGATTCATGTAGGTGCAGACTTCAGCTGTTCTGTGTGGGGTTGCCATGTTCTCCAAATATATGAATGTTATAGGTTATTTAGTGGATCTAAGTTAGCCACAGGCACCACAACACATGTGAAAATTAATTTAAGTAATAAACTAAATGTTACCGTTAAGTTTGACCCCCTTGGATGAAAGTCTTTCTTACTGTGGAGATTACAGCAGCAGTAGCTGATACATTCCCTGTCCATCAACCTTGTGCGTCTCATCTAAATAATTTATCGTCTTATCTGTCCCTGAGCCATTTCTCAGTATTATAAGCTCTTTCTCATAATGGACACTGGCCCTCATGGATGCCAATGAAATAATGCCTTAGTTTGGATGAGAGCGTGGCTAGGACCAGTAGTGCAAAGCAACTTAGTACATTTACATGTACTTTACTGAAGCACGGTTGTGATCATTTATAAGTATTTAAGTTATGCTCATTCCCTTTCTGCTCCACCATATTTTTTTTTACAAGTTTTGTAGTTTGCACTCCATATTGGTACAATCTTCAGTTATTTGTTATTTAGGAAGATTTTTTACAAACGTTATTTTGGTGTTTTAATTTTTGGTCCATGCAAAAAGTTGCATTGCTCCTTTATTATTCTCTGGTACAGAAAGCTGTTCTACTACTTTGAAGCCCACTGTTTGGGGCGTGTGCACTAGTAATGTGGAGGTCACAAATGACTGGCAGGTGTGCAGATGTCTGCATAGATCTTCGTGCTCACCATTTTGAGGAATAATGTGCATTCACTGAATGGTTGGCGAGCGGTTGCTTGTTGTTTTTAGGTTAAATTTGTCAGGTTGTGCCAAAAAAACATATCTCCAAGCTGCTGCGATTGCCGGTCATTTGCAAGGAAGATTTTCTGCAAAGGCTCGCCAAATACACGTACAACGTTTACCTTTATGTCAATGTTGAGCCTCACCACTGTAAGAATGTTTGAAGAAGCATTCAGGGAATTCAAATTTTTTCCCCTCTAGCGACGGGTAGTTGCCAGGGGATTGCCAGCTAGTCTCTAGGCCTGCGAGTACAGATAAAGATATGGCCATCCAGCAGTGATTTAAAATGATTAAATTCAATAATATATGATTATGGGGGGGAAGCTGTTTTTCGGATATTCCCCCTTTGTGCTGCTGGACTATGATTTTATGCCGAAACCAGTCGGCAGAGCTGCAGGTGTGGGCGTTCCCTGCATATATTACGCAAACAGACTCAGCCTCCACCAATCGGAGGTCTGTTTCTTTCTGCGCGTGTGTGGATAAATCGTCCAGCCTCGTCCTGAGCTGCAGATCTGTGTGTACGCGCGTCGCTGTGATGAACTGACCTTGGCTTATATCCGTACCGCTGCAGTCAGTGCGCGAGCTTTACCGGAGAGAGGACCAATAACAACAAAAGGAAAGGGGGAAAAACACACAGGGAAAGAAGCGCGTAGATGTGCCACGCAGATCGTGTAAATCATGAACAGCATGAATGCTCCGTGCTACACCATGGCTATGGATCTAGGCGTGTGCCAGCTGAGGAATTTTTCCATATCGTTCCTGTCGTCGCTGTTGAGCGCGGAGAGCTCGCACGTCCAGCTCGATAATAGGTGAATGCTCCGTCAGCTGCTTCACCTGCAGCGCTGTGCCTTTTCCTCATGACTGTGTAGCATCCAGCTTAGCTGACAGTAAATGCTCACTGTGAGGGGAAAAAAAGAGCATAAAGAATTCCTGCTTTTATAGAAAATTCCAGATGCTTCTAGTAGCGACCTACATTTTTATAGAGGGAGCTCCTCAGGCTCTGCGGTTCCTTCCCTCTATTCTCTGCATTTCTCTCCATCCATCTTATTTGCTGCTTTTCTTTTTTCCCCTCCCATTGCAGCACAATTTGGCTTAAAATGGATTTATTTCTCTTTTCTCTTGCAGTTCATCTGGAGCCAGCGTTGTGGCCATAGACAACAAGATAGAGCAAGCGATGGTGAGTTTTCCCTTTAATTTGTTGTCTTCGAATTGCTATAAGATGTCTTAACAGGGTATTCCTTTAAAAAAAAAAAAAAGTATTTTACTTCTTTAAATCACCTATATCTGGAACTTCGTCATCCCAGTGTGCGTAAGTGTTTATTTGAATCTCTGGCAAACAAAACGTTAACGAATTGTGAAATAAAACCGCTAATACGTGGAGAATAGAGTGCAATAGTGAGAGACTTCAGAACTGACGAGTGACCAACGTAAAGGTGAAAGTAGTTTAGCTAACTCAAAACTAACCGCTGGTTCCAAGTTGAAAGAACATCCCGATTATTACAAATATAAAATAAATATAAAATTATAAGCACAACAGCCGATCAAAAAATAATCAAAGTTAGATAGATCTAGCCCTTTATTTCCAGAAAAATCTAACGTCTCTGTTGTCCCTGCTGTCAGCTCTTGTTGCTAGGCAAACTGGAAGGCTGGCAGCCTGGGTATAAATATCTCAGGCTCTGATTGGCTAGCACTTAAACGTGGGTCGGCTTGCTGACGTAGCACCTTGGGAATATTCCCTCTCATGCTTCTCCTTTCATCATCTTTTTATTGTATTATCCCAGATTAGATTACATAGAGACTCACTTCTAAAGATCTCTTTCCACTTACTCCTTCATGAACTGTTAGTTTAATGTTTTAGGTAACTATTATTTTGTTGTTGTTTTGTTGTTATAGCAGTTTATTTTTATTTTTTTTTCCGAAACATTCGTTTTTGCATAAAATATTCCAGTATAATGAAGGCTGGCAGTGCTTTTCCATGAAAAGATAACACACAGCTTCAATTTCGGGATACTTTCAGCTTGAATGAAAGTTCCTGACTTTTTCCAAATAAAATAGGTCAGCTTTAAATGTTTGTTTTCCCAGATCATTAAAACTATGATCAACAGTATTCAGTGTACAGTCCCATGATGCACAAATAGTCACACCTTAAGGTCATCAGCATCTGGTCCAGGTGAAGACAAGACGGGTAGCTTTTTCTTTTGCTGGTGTTTGCAATTGAAAAAGAGCTGGATCCTTAGACTAGTTAGATTTTAATAAATGGCCCTTATTGTTAAGAACATTTGATTTATGAAAATCAGAAAGCAACTGAAGAGGATAATAAATTAAGTCTGATCCAGAATGTTACTTTCTAATTAGTCACAACAACATTGATAAAATTAAAAGGAAATTTTAAATAAATAATTCAACTAAAAATTGTTAGTAGTTTTGTATAAGGCAATAGCTGTGTCACATTTCCTTCCTTAAATTCGTCTCCCTGAGGAGATCAACCCTTAGGAGTCACCTCAAAGCGCTTTGTATTGTAAGGTAGAGACCTTCCAGTGATATAAAGAAAACATCAACAATCAGATGACCCCCCCCTCCCACCCCTGTAAGCAAGCACTTGCTGACAGTAGGAAGGAAAAATTCCCTATTAACAGGAAGAAGCCTCTGGTAGATTTAATTTAAAGTTGGCATAATGTGTCGTGACTAGTTGACCAATTGTGGCAGCCCTAGTCGTCACCAACTTGATTCAATGTCATTTCACTCCTGACTTCAATGTGTGCAAAGCAGCAAAAGAAGGTACTCGGTGTGTAACGGGACTGAATAACAGCAGTGTGTATTATCCTGTGACTCTTGTCCAGTCTCTTCCTTACAGTGAGGATTACAGCTTATTTAGTAAACATTGGTATTGTAATAGTGCTGTTTCAAATTGGTGCATACCTATTAAATGTAAAAATGTGCAATTTCCATTTGGTTTAACAGATGCTACCTGTTATTTTATCCTTCTCCTTATCAACCTCATCCTTAAATTTAAATTCACATCAAACGGTTACAATTATGATTTTTGCCTAAAGGCACAACCTGATTTACCTGATGTTTGTGGATTCCTGTCGTAAACCTCTACCTCCTGTCTTTTTCAGGACCTGGTGAAGAGTCACCTGATGTACGCCGTGCGTGAGGAGGTGGAGGTGCTGAAGGAGCAGATCAAGGAGCTGATCGAGCGCAACTCCCAGCTAGAGCAGGAGAACACGCTGTTGAAGACGCTGGCGAGCCCCGAACAGATGGCCCAGTTCCAGGCCCAGGTTCAGACCGGCTCGCCACCTACCCCTCAAACGGCCGCCACGCCGGGACCCGCAAGCGCCACCACCCTCTCCCAGTCTGCCACACACAGCTCCGGCCCCTCGGCGTAGCCTGGCCCAAGTGGAGAACTTGACTTTTTTTTGTTTGTTTGTTTGTTTGTGTTGTTTGAGCTCTGGCACAGCCGCCGAGCCAAACTTTGCCTTCCACAGCAGGAGGCTACGCCGTTAAGATGAGAATTTGCACATTTTATCTCAGAAGGATGCAGACAGAGGGACGAGCGGGGGCTGCGCTCGGAGGCGCGGAGGGAGGGCGACAATCTTGAGATGCTGTACATGAAGTTGTTTTGAACATTTGCCAAAAAAAGTCCCCCTCTTTTCATCAACTAGAATGTCTTACAGAGGAACAGCTCATCAGTGGAAACAATGCTTAGATTTAAATAGAAAGAAAAAAAAAATCACTGTGCCTGAGTGATGTCGACTACACCAGTGGGTGGAGCAGCAGGATTGATAGTTTCCTGTTTTGCAGAATGATGTAAATAAAAGAAGTTTCCAGGTTGACGGACTCAAGAGGAAGACGCCTTCTCCAAATGAAGAATGTGAGCAATCATCACAGACTCCCCCATCTGGTATGGGGGAGTTTGGGGTGGGAGGTTCTTTACAGCAGCATTGATGATGATGGTATGATCTTTTAGCTGTGGGTTGATGGGATTAACAAACCCTGGTTTCTTATGGAGATGATGATATTCTATTTTCAGTATTTCAACCTCCTTGTTTTTGCCCTCGAAGCTCCTCATTGCAGTTTTCTCAGCCCTGCAGTGGCATGTAATTTAAACCTTATCAGACAGGGTTGAGACTTCTTTTGGGCTAAGCTGCATTTTTTCCCCCTTTTCTTTGTTTTCCTAAAAGATTCGAGAGGGCAGAGGATGATGTATATTTCTGTATAGTGTAAGTATCATGTAAAATAGAGAGGAGGTGGTGGTGAAGATAAACAACAGATGCTATCTAGGTCACACAGATTGATGCAGATGAGTTTTGCCCAGCCTGTGTCATCTATTTTTAATGCTGTATTTTCAGGACTGTGGATGGACGAGGAGTTTAGGATATTTAACTGACAACAAGCAGCCCGACTGTGTTGTCCATAACCCTTACTGCAACATTAACTCTTGACTGTAAAACCATTTCCACTTGGTTCTCTTTTTCTTTCTGGAGTATTGCACTCTTTTTTTTTTTTTTTTTTTTTTTTTTGACAGTGAAATACTTTTGGATGAACAATATCTTAAAGTTCAATTTAAAAAAAAAAAAAGAAGAAAGGAAATACAAACTCTAGAGATGTTCTTTTTCATTCTCTGTATCAGTTGTATGCTCATGTTCTGTGCATGTTTCCGCAATGACCGGATGAGATATTGTAACATACATACCACAATTGCACTTGACAGCTGCACTTCACAACTTTCAATAAACATGGTTAAGGAAGAAATTACTCCTTTTTTTTTCCTCCCCTCCCCAGTTTTCCTGTCCAATTACTGCGCTCATGAATGAAAAGAATGACCACATTTGGACAAGAGTGGAGCATTAACTAAAATAAAACGCATGATTTTGTGAACTTGAAATAAACTAGAGGAAATCGCTTTAATTTTAGGATTACTTTGGTCAAATGTTTCTTTGATGAGACTGAAAGACAAGAGGTTGACACTGGATGACTACTTGGTTAACTTAAAACTTGCCTCTGATGTATCCCCTCCATATAGTAACCATGAAAAAGACAAAGCAAGTGAAATTGCATTAAATTAAAAAGAAAAAGTCAAATAAAAGAGGTTAGGTTGGTCTCCCTGTTCGCAGCTACAGCTGAAAAAAAAAAACCTGGGAACTCGTCTAATGTTAAACTCTGACAACCACTGGACAATTAGTGCAAAGAGTTGAGTTGCACTAAGGGAGTTGACTCAACTGGTTGGCAGCTGTGTGTCTATATATATTTTTTCTTTTTAAAGAAGGTTGGAGCGTGACCACTGCTTCAATATTAGTTTAACATCTGAAATTCTGACTGGACTCAAAAAGGAGTTTATGTAAATTTCTGTGTATGTATATGGAGATGGAAGCAATTTTCACTTCACATTTAATTATCACATTATTATTAATTATTATTATCACAGATTGCTCACAGCTGCCCACTTGTCCCTGTTCAATCGCAAGCTGATGGCAGACAGAGCCCATCTCATAGCTGTTTTATGCCCATCTTTACACAACAAAGTCGTTTTGAAAACAAGTAGTTGTACACCAGGTGCCCGACTCCAACTGTTACAAAATGAATGAGACCGCTGCACATTGTGACTGTAGCATTAGTTAGAGAGGCCATTACAATCTCTAAGATCTCCAATATCCAGGTGGATGACTTATAAAATAAACTCACCTTCCTCAGTTGCTGTGGAGGGAAAACTATCCAAAGAGGCCAGACCTCCCATGGCTTGCTTTCTTTAGATGAAACTGCCTCCTACGAGCAATTACATTTAACCACAATGGGCTCTGCATGTGTTTAAGAGTCAGGGAATTTTACAGACTCCATTAAAGTGACGCTAAAAAAACTCCAACCCAAATAAAAGCATTTAAGCTCCGGAAAAAAAATAAATAAATATGAAATTTGGATTAACTTGCAGATGTAATTAAATTCAGTGTTTACATATCAAATAATGTTATCTTAGCAGGCAGAAATTAAGTCATATTACAAAAAATATGTATTATATCCACAGAGCAGTAACACAGTTGAACAAGGTGATATTCACACTGGTTTAATGCACTGGCATTTGTTCCCTTTAGGTGGCTGAACTGAACCTTAAATATAGAAAGAGCAAAGCAGTGTTTTTGTTTGTCATTCTCAAACTTCTAAATCACCCCCTGATCCCTCTCATTACTGAAAATACCCACCATCTCTGTTTAGAGGGAAACCATATTTAAACTGGAAATGCATGATTATGTGCACAAAGTTCTGATAGCTACTTTACAAATGAGCTGTATGCGTAACCCAGGTGACATTTAAAGCATTTAGCTCCATCCTGCTGCCACCTACAACATGAAACCTCTGACGGGTGGAGTGAGTATCGTGCTCTGGTAAAACCGAGTCTACGACAGCAGAATTAAACGTGGACGTTTTCTAAATGCTCAACATTTATTTGAAAAAACATTCTTCATAGACTGACAGTGAATTACACAAATATGGCACATTGTTAGCAGGAATCACTGGTCGCACACCACCTCTCTCTCTCTCTCACACACACACAAAATGAATCACGATCTCCAGCCGGCGTGGTCTCAGACTGTTCATAGAAAAGCTGTCAGTACCACAGACTGCAATACTGTAAACGCTGATCAGGGGCAGGGTGGTGTCTTTAGGGTGAGCTTCAGGGGGACGCTTCTCTCCCTCTCTCTCTCTCCAAGGAATGCCATTCATCTCTGGACCTCTGGAGGGTGCACAGGTGAGGGTTAGCCAGGCTCTATGAGGGCATGAGGAGGGTTGGGGGGGTAGAGGGCAGGGGTCCAGAGTCTTCTCCTTCATCACATCCCCATACGGATGCTCTGGATGATCTGAAATATGGCTGAGAGCACACAGGGAGACACGACGTCAAAGCCCTGACAGGAAGGAAAAACAGCGAAGTAAACAGCCATGACATCATTTCTCATCTGGATTCTCTATCCTGTTCCTGGGTCCGATTTCCCGCTCCAATCAGCATCTCTTTTTTTTTTTTTTTTAATGGAGGCCACATTAAAGTCCTGTCAACTCTGTGACACTTTTTAAAACTGCAGCAGATGTGTGTCCCTGAAATTTGGCGTCAGTTTGTGGGTCGCTCACTGAAACACACTGAAAATCTCATCATTTTGAATTGAATTCTAAAGAGCATTTAAAAGACATTTTTAAGTTCGTGACTTTTCCAAAATTTCTCATCGTTATTGTAACGACAGAAATATTCAGGGCTTAATCATACTCAAGTGGTAGCACAACAACTTAACCCTTTAACATAAAAATATTCATAAAGTACTTAAAATACACAGTTATTAGATTTACATTTTAACCCCTGATCCCATCCATGCTGTCCTCTAAGCGATTTGTAAGGCTTCTGGTGAAGTTGTCATGCGGCACAGCTACATGACGCAAGCTCCAATGACGTGACGTGAAGGTGATGCAAATCGATAGGCCGTTTCAGCTTTGGAGATAAATTTACTACACCCTGGGTTTGAATTGTCTTCTGATGCCACCGTCATCTGAAATGGAGGAGGAGCTTAATACGGGTCAACCTCTCTTTTACTAAAAACAGACAAGTAACACGATGTGAGACTTCACAGCACTCTAGTCTTAAAGCATCAATAGACACGCTACACTGCCCTGTAAACACAGCCCTGCTCCAATGAGGCTGATTAAATGTGAGTGCTTAATAAATCTACTGGATTGGGGATGTGGAGCTCCAATGGTCAACTGCATAATTAATTAACATTTGAGTGAGCCTTTAAAAGTGAAATAAGCCTTATCTGTGTATATAAAACACTTAATTTAACACAGTTACTGAAGGTCCAGTCATCTGAGTGAGATAATCAAAGCATTAAAGAGCTGCTGGGTATTAAACACGGACTGATACATCAGTCTGACTTTAGGTCTTAAAATCCAGCATCACTGACCAGTTTAAACCACTTTCTTCTGTAGATATTTAAAAGAAAAGAAGAAAAGGTCCGTACCTGATCCACACACAACAAACACAAAGAGAGCGAGCAGCCAGGGACCCACAGGATACTTCTCTTCTTGTGGCCGCTGTGGAGGAGAAACACACATCATGTACGTCAGCAAAAATGTGCTGCCGAGCAAACACAGAGGCTTCCCTGCTCCTTGTCCTGGTCACTGTGTTTCTTAAACTTCAACAACTGTTTTTGCATGGATAGACCTCAGAGTCTAATTATACACTGAAAAGTACAGGGTCAGCACTTCTCTCTCCCTCTTTACACGGTGGCTCATCAGTTAAAGGTTTAGAGAGCAGCCGTGATGAGCTCATCTGGTTGGATGTGTTAAACCTGGACCACATGCAACTTGATTTGATCTAAAGTGGGCTCAACCTGTAAAAATTTTGCCAGTAACTTAAAGAAGGGAGAGAATTTGTATGTTTATATCTAAAAAATATACCTCTATAGTCTGAAAACTTTCACTTTAACTTAAAAAAAAACAAAGAAAGAAAAATATTATTCCTTTCCAAATTACTCTCTTATTTAATGAGACATTCACTCTAAAAAAAAAACAAAAAAACAAAAAAACATGTACATATTATATCAGACATCAGCAACCAGCTCAAGGATTTAGCAGCAGAAACCCTGATAATCACAACCAAAGCATTCAGAGGAGCATCTATGAACCCATGACACATCGAGCTGTGAAGCAGATGGGCTACAGCAGCAGAAGACCACACTGGGTGAAACTCCTGTCAGCTAAGAACAAGAATCATTGGAAGATCAGAGAAACGTGGCCTGGTCTATGAAACTCAATTTCTGCTGCAATATATAGATGGTAGGATCCAAATTTGGTGTAAATAATATGGCAGTATGATTCCATCCTGACTTTCATCAACAGTTCTTGCAACACCTTCCTTATAAATTGGCCAGTGTGTCTGTACATTGTAGTTTATAGCTGGCATCACTGTGGGAAAAGACAAAACCTGCTTGTCTTTAGCTCATCTTGGTCTAGAAATGCTTCCACTCCCCGTGTAGTACCATGGGGATCACCAGAGAAGGATTATCACAGAACTTTATTGGAAACCTAGAACAAAATTTAAAAGCCATTACAAAAGGTGAAACCAATCTGACCCTCTGGATGGCTGGACGTGGCTCCCCCAGACCGCATGTTTGACATGCTGCGTTACATGTCAGCTGTTGGGATGTGAAACGTATGAGGAGGAGGATATAAGTGAAGAAAACTAATGTTGACATTACTGAATAGAGTTACTGAGACTGACAGAAATGAAAAGAGAAAACCTGTGGAGAAGACAACCCTCCATGATCCCTTTACTGACCTTGAGAACAGATACTAAAGTTACTAAATGTTTAAAATCCACAGCAGTGGAAAAGAGTGCAGATAAAAATGAAAATGTGAAGGACGTATTAAAGATATTTTAAAATGTTCCACAGTCATTTATTAAAAGTAATTAATAGTAACTAATAAGACTCACAAGCGCTGCAGTGTAATTTGATTAACCCGAGAAGAGCAGATAATGGAAAAAGAAAAACCAATCAATAAATACGTTTTATTTTATTTCAGTTTTTTTGGTCTTTTATGTCAAATAAAATAATTAAACAATTCAATGATCAAGTAAACAAATTAAGTACCTTGTACATGTCCTCTATTTTATTACTATTTTTAAATTTCTTCATATTTTATTGGTGCCCTTAGTGTACACACCAGCCATCTAACATCTATTTTCACTTATTTAATTCAGTGGGGTTTTTTTTGGT